ACCAAGGGATGAATGAGCCAAGCGCTTGAGTGTCTATGTACAAAATTCGCGCAACATGCCCTGACATCCGTTCCGTGTTTTAGGATTTGGGGCCATTTTCCGCCGCTCCATGTTTTAGGAGTTGGGATCATTTTCCGCCAATCTACCGTTCCATCGTTCCACCCTTCCTGCTACAAGGGTCGTATTCCTTTTCTTCCCCTTTCTTCCCAATACGCACGCTGAAATGTATGTCCTGGACTGTTCAAAACAAGTGGTTACTTTTGCCAAGAGCGTGCCAAGTAACATTCTGGCGTTCTGTGGAGCGAAAAGAGTACGGATGTGCACGCGGCATTTAGTAGAAGAAAATAAAGAATTGCCCAATTTTCCCCCATACAAAATCCACTATCAGGCTATAAAACAAAGTATTTTGGAATTATTTAACCTAATGTGAATTTCTTCGTATCCCCAACCATTTTCCCATCGCCAGCACTTGCTTTAAAATTTCAAGTTCTTGTTACTATTGAATGTATGTTTTATTGCCTAATCGTGACTTGCTGATCCTTACGGGAGCACTTTTACAGGATGCGTCGATTTAGGTAATATGGGACCCAGGCTTTACGCTGCCAGTAATTCTCGAGCATGAGGATCGTTATTCGAAGATTGCATCAGCTGAAGTTTTTTGTGACAATCTCAACGTATCCTAGGTATTCTTCTGATTCTTTTCCCAAAATGGTTCTGGATCTAGATTTTTACAGGGCTGACAAAGGAGGTAACCCAGAAAAAATTCGGGAAAATCAGAGCAAGCGGTATAAGGACACCACATTGGTAGATCAGGTAGTTGAGGCGGATGCAAAATGGAGGAAATGTAAGTTATAACTCGATGTATTCATTATTCATTTCAGACTGTAATTCACGAACGGAAACCTAAAATTACAATTTTATTTTTAAATAGTACGATTCTCTGCCGATAACTGGAATAAACTCAAGAATTTATGCAGCAAGCAGATCGGCGAAAAGATGAAGGTAAACTTATTCGGGAGAAATTTCACTGCAGGACAAGTTCAGCTTATTTATCAGTTTCCACGTACACGTGTAATGTCGGTATTTTGTTTGTTTACGAGTCTGTCTTCAAACCTCTCTAATATCCCACCAACTTAACCAATTGCAAACAAAAGTACAGGCAGATGCGAAACAGTTTTCTTACCGCAAACTTACATCTAAGTATGTTGTTTACTCCAGCAAATAACAAACAGCTGCAAAGAGATGAAGAGACTACCAATGGTTGATATTGTTGTTGAGTTGATTACACTCTTCATCAATTTGTTACTAATTTACCTCTCCTAAGCAATGTCCTATTTATTACAGTTTAACTTTCTTTTCTTGTATCCAACCTTGAACAAATTAAAGGAGAGGGAGCTGCACCAAAGAGCAATTGTATGTGAAGATGTGAAAAGAACGTTTCACCTCAATCTTGTTGTCTTAAATGCCAATCAACTATTATAATGGGGGGGGGGACATTGGCGCCTCTGGGAAACTGCAAAACCAGAGAAAAAACCCTCCAAAACCGAAAACTGACGAAAAAAGGCAGCAAAACCGAAAACCGCATGCAAACCTGAAAAAACTGCTACATTTTCATCTTTATAGGGGTCAAAAAGGAAAAAATGACAACCGCATCAGAGTTTTCGTGAAAACCGAATGCAAGAACATGTTAAATCCATAAACCACTCTGAACATCAAAACTGAAAATCCGAACCTTTTTGGCCCAAAAACCGAAGAACCGATCCTAAAAACAGTCAATACTGCAAAACTGAAAATCCAAAAGCCCCCCTCTTTAATGCTTATTGAAGATATAAAGAACATACATATCATGAAGTTTTACTAATATTGTAAACATTTATGAAAAATTTGCTCTACCTTAAGCTGAATGAATACTTTCAACATGTGGTGATCAAAATGATGACAATATTGTTTCTAGCGAAAAGAACCTGTTGGTGACAGTAATGAGCTACCTCAAAGTATAGTGGATGCATTGGAAGTAATTACCCCGGACATGTTAGAGGTAAACTTTCATAGTTAGCTCTTCACAGTGGGTAACGATATCCCTGAGTCTTGGCTTGATCCCTTACTTAAAATGTCCATAAAGGTTCCCGAGAAATAATATCTGATGATATTTAAAAGTAATTATAACTTGAATAAAGGCTGAAAGTTTCTAAAGAAACTGTGGTGCTGCATCGGTGGGGTGACAAGATAGTCGGTTATATCAGCTAAGTTGAAATTGTAAGCCGACAGGTATTAACGAACGCTTTTCATTCCACTAATTTATTCGTGTTTTTCTTGTTGCCATGTTCTCACCAATGGTGTAGCTCTGCTTTCTGCATATAAAACCACATACAACCCACCATTCCTCCATTCGCTCTGATGAAGGGCTAACGCTTAAAATGTCAGCTTTTTTATTCATTACGGTGGCCAATTTACAATTTCAAGTTAGTTGATATAACCAATTATAATTATAACTTGAAGGGTCTAATTTTCTCGATGATCTTTGGAAACAAGCTGGTCTAAATGGTCAGCTTATTAGAGGCTAAGATTCATTTTTACCTTTTTATGGAACAGAAGGTGTGGTCAAATCTTTTTTTTATAGTGGGGCCTGGTGAACTGGTTGACTCAAATCCACTGTTAACTTTAAACAAGATATGTTTTATCTTTGATCTGGCCTAATTTTTCCATTCTTTTATATAAGCTAACTGGAACTCAGTTAACTCAAACTCCCCTTTAACTTGGAGTAATTGAGTTATTTTTTTAAAAAAAATAACTATATGTTAGCGTATAGATTGGTGTATTGTGGTGTAGTGTAATCTGATCAGCGCAATTTGGTGTATCTCTAAGCAATCTGATTGGCGCATCTTTTTTTTGGTGTATCTCAACGCAATGTGATTGGCCCAATTTTTTGGTGTATCACAAACCAATCAGATTGTAGTATTTTTCGATGTCGCACCAATCAGAGCGTTCTTGCTAATTTGTGGTTTGACAGGTCTTCAAATTTCAGCGAATCAACGCTTGAGTCGGAGAGAGCGGTTCGCGAATTAAGGAAATGTATCAGTCGTGTTGGGAAAGTGGTGGAGTTGTGATCGTTGTACGACTATGCTTATTCTTCCTTCTGAAGGAGACTGAGTGGAACATGAGAAAAATTTTGAATCAAATATTACTTCAGATGTTGATAGGAGCAACTTCAGGATATTTCATTGCTATATATGAGTTAATCAGCGATTCCAATTTTGAATTTCGCTCAAGGAACGAGGTAAGATGACATCTACAAGAGTTGTAAGA